TAGACTCAAAAAATTGTAACAGCAGCTGCGCGGGGGGCCCAATCAAATTTTTTGTCAGGGGGCCCAAGATTCCTGGCGGCACCCCTGCAATTGGTATATGTTTGATGTCCTTTTGGAGGAGGGGTTCTCGTTGGTGGGGCAACTCCATGAATAAAGGTAAGGGTAATACTGAATTCCATACTCTTCTATGTGTGCTTCAAACACCCTTGTTAGTTTTTTTTTTCTTTTTTACAAAAAGACTTTTCTATTTTTACAAAATAAAACAACTGAATGAACACCAACTGTGAATGGTGATTTTAGTTGATTTTACAAATATGCAGATAATTTCCTCAGCACTCACCGCTGGTTGCAGCTGGCCATTGACGCTCACTGAGCGGAGTGGCGAGTTGGTAGATAGGCGTTTGTCCCACTCACTGGGTCGAGGTTCTGGTACTGACTCCATAAAACTTCTCTTGAGCTCACTGATACTAGTATGGTGGCGCATGATCTCAGTTTGGGTCTTATCAAGGTCCTTCAAGAATGAAAAAGTTACATTAATATAATGATAGAGCAAAAGGTAAAAAAAAAAAAAAAAAAGATCACAGACAGGAATATAATGAGTTAAATGTTGGCCAAAATGAGCCAGAAAAAAATACTGAAAAACAGGAGCATTGTTAACTTACATTGCACAGTATGAGTGAAATGACAGGTAAAATGGATAAGTGCGTAATGATTTTTTTGTAATCATAAATGTGTGTGAAAACAATGTCAAAGCCACACTATCAGTACAGTGAAAATTGTTTTTTAACAAGTTAAATTACTTTGTGCTTTTTCTAAGATATGTCCATAAACATATCATGCTTATTTCTTAAAAAAACCCATAAAGCTTCACAGTACCAGGTACATGAACATATTAAGATAAAATCATTTGGAAAAGAATCTGCCAACTACACCGAGAGAATCGTCAGACAAGAAACACAACAGACAGTCCTATTTCAAATTTTCTGGTGTCATTTTTTTTTATTGTACTTACAAAATACGGTGTTCTTACAAGATTCTATTTGACTATTCGCATTCCATTTTTTTATATCTATCTCTGGATGTGTTGGTTGACGCGACTCTGCAATCTTGAGTGGACATTGGGGGCCATTCCCCTGGATTGGCAGTCTGAGATGGTGGTCCCCTTATTTAAAAAAAGGGGCTGGAGGGACCACAGAGTGTGCACCAACTACAGAGGGGTCACACTCTTAAGCCTCCCTGGCAAGGTGTACTCAGGGATCTGGGAGAGGAGGGTCTGTCAGATAGTCGAACCTTGGATTCAGGAAGAGCAGTGTGGTTCTGGTACTATTTGTGGAACACTGGACCAGCTCTACACCCTCACCAGGGTCCTGGAGGGTTTGTGGAGTTCGCCCAACCGTTCTACATGTGCTTTGTGGACTTGGGACTGTGTCCCTCGGGAAGTCCTGTGGGGGGTGCTCCAGTAGTTTGGGGTACCAGGCCCTTTGATATGGGCTGTTAGGTCCCTGTACGACCAGTGTCAGTTTGGTCTGCAGTAAGATGGGATCATTCCAGTAAGAGTTGGATCCCGCCAAGTCTGCAGAATCCAAAAGTAATTAACACCAATTCTGTTAATTACTTTTATGGACAGAATTTCTAGGTGCAGCCAAGGTGATGAGGATGTCCTTAGGATCCTTAGGATCACATCTCTGCTTTTTGTAGATGATGTGCACCTACTGGCTTTATCAGAGTGATTGTGATCAGTACGAGGCCCTGGTCTGTAGCCAGAAAAGGTGCCCTCTCCAGGTCGGGGAGGATGTAATGCCCCAAGTGGAGGACTTTAAGTATCTCGGGTTCTCGAATGAGGGAAAATTGGAGTGGGAGAATGACAGGTGGATTGAAGCGGGCGCTGTACCTGTCTGTCATGGTAAAGAGAGAGTCGAGTCAAAAACCAAAGTTCTTGATTTACCGTTTGATCTACGTTCCTACCCTCATCTATTGTCATGAGCTTTGGGTCATGTCTGAAAGAACGAGGTCTCAGATACAAGCGGCCAAAAGGAGTTTTTTTTTCCCCTTAGTGAAAGGGTGAGAAGCTCAGTCATCCGGGAGGGACTCAGAGTAGACCTGAACGCTTCCTTGGTGAGGTGTTCCAGGCACTCCACCGCGAGGTGCCCGGAACACACTTGCCTGGGGACAAATGCCTTGGAGGAGCTGGCCCAAGTGGCTGGGGAGAGGGAAGTCTGGGCCTTCCTACTTAGTCTGCCACCTTTGCGACCCTACTCCAGATAACTGGAGAGAGGGAAGGAAAACAGGAGGGTGGGAGAGATGGATGGAACCCACGGAATTTAAAGCATCCATCCATGGATGGATGGAATTTAAAGCACTGTTTGCTCGAGCTTAATGCGCTTAGTCTTAAAATATTTACATGTTTGCTTCCTCATACAGTATGTGTCAGTGACAAAAAAGATCCACAAACAAAGCATGCCCAGGGCACTGCATATATCTGAAATCATAAGCTAAAGCCAAGTCTTTGCTGTCCATTCTGTGAGCTGATAGCGACAAGTTTTTTTTTTTTTACTTTTTTTTTTTTTACATTGCTGTACATTTAGATTGTAAGGTGGAGAGGAAAGGGCAAATCAAATCTATGTAAATTAAATGTCATTCTCTTAATTGTAAAGGCTGTGAAAATCTGAAATAACAGATTTTCACAACCTGGACCAGCTCTACACCCTCACCAGGGTCCTGCAGTGTTCGTGGGAGTTCACCCAACCGGTGAACTCCAACCGGTTGGGTGGGAGTTCTACCAGGAAATTTCCTGCTACCAGGAAATGGTGTCCTGCTACCAGGACAGCAGAAATGGCACAAAGACATCAGCTTGAAAAGTACAGATCAAATGAAAGAGAAGAAAAGCTGTCTGAAAAAAGTAACAAGCAACTACAGTATAGCACTGTAGATTATGGAACTGATCTTACATACATGACTGGGAAAGAGTCACCAATGTACAGTATACTATTACTATTTTAGCTATTAAAAAGAGTAGATAAAATAATAAAGGAGCTTTTATTAGATGGTCAGTCACCACTACAATCACCACCTTTTTTATTATGTTAACACACCTCCCTTTTTCTCCCTATCAATTTCCTCACTATCAAATATGAAGGTCAGTAGTGGCATAAAATTGAATAAAATAAAGCTAAATTAAATTGCATAAAATTTTCAGGATTGTAGCTTCAAGACTGTGTCTACAGTGGACAGATCCTGTTAAAATTAGCTCTAAATATGGAATAAAGAAATTAATGTGCCAGGATTAGTTAGACAAACTATCTGTCTGTCTATCCTTGTCAACAGCATTAATGGAACATTATCACTATTATTAAGCCCGAGCAGCGAAGCGCTGCGACGGCCCATTGTAATCGTACCGTTTCTTTTTTTTTTTCTTTTCCCAAATGAATTGGCTTTTTGGGGGCTTTATCATATTCAAAACCTCACCAAACTTGGCGAACGCATACACCGTGTATGAAATTTCCCTATTTTAAGGTCGACGCAAAAATCGCAAAAGAAACGGCTCAAAATCACCACCTAGCAACTTTCAAAATACCCTCTGCTATCACCTTACTTTATCGTAGAGACATGAATTTGGTACACTTGTAGAGTTCCCCAAGACGCACAGAAAATACAATTAATGTCATAGTGCAAGTCAAACAGGAAGTCGGCCATTTTGGATTGAAGTTCCGATTATGACCCCATTTTGGCCTTTTACAGCCTTCGCATTTGACCGAATTCCTCCTAGGGATTTTGATAGATCAGCTTCAAACTTGGTCAGATTGTTCATAAGGCATGGCCGATTAAAAGTTATGAAAACGGTGAGTTTTTGTGCATTGCTGAAGGGGGGTTGCCTGGGGTTAAAGTTCACCTACTCGCCATGAAACACAAAACTTTTATATCTCCTGCACAAAACCTCATCATACACAATGCTGAAATGATGACATCACTTAAGCTACACCCCATAAGAACAGGAAGTGACATGTTTTACTGTGAATTGTCTCTATTTGACCCCTTTGAACTAATCAACATGAAACTGCATCCATAGAGAGAAGACATGTTGGGGTGAAGTGGATTCCAACCATGAACTGTTTTGGTGGACCAGGTGGGCGTGGCAAAGTGACCTGTAATGCCGTTGCCATACGTTTGGTTCAGCCAAACTGAACCAAACACACGAGGATCGATCCTTATCCACCCCCCAATAGTAATCCATAACAGTCATTTGTGGGCGTGGCCTAATTTCTCAACAGCACCCCCTAGAAAATTTTAAATAATCAGCCCCAAGCCATGCTTTAACCTAGAATTATGAAACTTGGTACACATGTGTATCTTATCAGGATGTACAAAAAAGTCTCTTGGAGTCATTGTCCAAACCCAACAGGAAGTCAGCCATTTTGGAATCAAAGCCACCATTTTGTCTTTTTTATAGACGTCGTATCTGATCAAATTTGTCCTACAGTTTTTCAGATACAGACTTCAGAATCACTCTGCACACTCTTGAGGAATTGAAGGTTAAAAGTTATCAAAAGATTTATCGTACATCAAAGCATCAACGCAAATTTTGACTTTTCGCCATGAAACATCAAGGTGCAGTAACTTCCACAGGTAAGATCACAACTGTATCAGACTTCCACTTCAAACTAGTCATGATCACATTGTCACGTTCAATTGATGACATCACCTTAGCCCTGCCCACTCCCGTCTGGAAGTCAGCTGTTTTTTCTACTGTATATCTTAATTTTACTCTATGATTCTTATGACTTTAATCCTGTGCAAACTGGCATAAAATGGCATGATGAACTCTGGCTGCTGGCTGCATGGTGTGGGTGTGGTCGAATGGCGAATCAAATCACTTGCCATAAGCATACGGTCGTCGCTAAATCACACATGCCTCATCTGATTCGTACCAAACTTGATATGTATGACCTTTGTTCACCTCTAAGGAGCCCAATAGCATTAAATTGTAATTTGACTCCACTGCGCCCCCTAGATTAATCCATCAGCTACATCTCCTCTCTCCAACATAGGCCAATCTGCACCAGATTTTGGGTGCATCATTGGGGAGCACTGCCAAATGCATCGATGCATATTGCCTGGCGGATTGGTGCAGGAACTGTGCCAGAGCGTCTGCGGTGTCCAGCGGGCGGCGGTGTCAGAACCCCCGCAGTCGCCAATAGGCCGGAGTGGCGCTGAGCTGCAAGGGCCATTTAAGGTGTCTTGTAGCTTTAATTTACTCTTCCATCTAATGTCCAAGTTTACTGTTTTATTAGTTTCCTTTATTATTGGGTGATTTATTTTTTCTTATTATTTTATATTCTGTTAGTCAATAAGTTTTCTGTAATTTCACCTTTTTAATATGTTGATTTTATCCACTAATATTTTCTTATTACATTTTCACTTATCCTGTTTTAACTTTGTTTATTTACAGATTTGTTTTTGTTTCTCGCACTCTTTGTAAGAGGTAAAGTACAAAAGTGCGTTAAACAGACAGAAGCGAAGACTCGGTGTGGGTGGCTTGGAGGGGTTATGGAATGTTACAGGAAAAATAAACTATTGTCAGATTTAAAAAAGTAACAATAAAAAAATTTCTTATATAAATACAGATTATGAAAAAATGAAAAAGGAGGCTAAATACAAAATAATACAATTGGAAATGAACTGAAAAATTAAATAGTGAAAATGTTCCCTCATACAGTTGAAAATCATTTTTGTCTTCCACAGTATAATGAAATAAGTTTGGAAAGTTCTCAGATAAAAAATGTCCTAATATAATTGCTAATAATATTATTAATATTAATTTTGTGCCTGTTCTAAAAAAATTGTGATTTTTCCATCTAAAAATAGGAGATATAGTTTTATATGATCTTCTTCAGACATCCTCTCACAGCTCATTAAAAGTCATAGGCTGACAGGCAGCATAAGATGAGTCCATCGTATAGAAACCCTTTTCAAAAACACAGATTATTCTTGAACTTGTTAAAACAAGATAGAAAGTTTCACGTTACAGTTAAGCAAACAACTCTGCCCTTGTGGCATTGATGAATAAAATGAAATGATGGTTTCTTATGCGTTGTTTTATGATGGTTTGAATGTCTAACAGTACTGCCCAACCTCTGCACACAAAAATATAGTTTTCATAATCTTCAACATTGTCCTTCAGTCTCAGAGAAGCTTTCGTATGTGAACCGTGGAGGATGTATTAACAGATGTTTAAGGGTCCTATGGATGGATGATACCCACATGTATTTCATGCCTCATATGATTTTATATGGCAGGTTTCTTTCAGCATTAGAGACTAGCTAACACCATGTGAAAGCCAAATCCCACGACCTGACAAATTCTGAAAAATTCCAGTTAAGTAGGCGTACTCGCCTACTTAACACATATACACACAGATACAAGTATTACTAGTGCAGATAAACACTGTTTTCAGAATTTGTCAGGTCTAAATTTTCGCCTACTGGCGGAGACAAGTGTGGGGATGAGTGGTGGTGTTAAGCAGACCTGTAGTCAGGATTAAAAAAAAGTGCTTTCACCAAGCTATAAATTTTGTAGCTTTATTTAGTGATGTTCCAGTCTTCTCTAGTGATTTTTTTAAAACAAAAAAAACAATGAGTAGAAAATCTAGAAACGTTTTTTTCTGTTACTGAAGACCTTTTATAGCGACAACACTCTGGAACTTTGCAGCAGCTCCACTCTGTCCTGAGTGAGCAATGAGTGCTCCTGTGAGACTCCACCCCACTTTCAAAGCCCTGCAGTTGATCTGACACAGTCATCCATCCATCCTGCATCTATGTGTGGCCAGAGAAGGGGGCAACAATAACAGAATCCTACTCCATATCAACAGTGCAAGTAAATCACACATTTCTAAAGCTGAGTCACGCCACTGATCAATACTTGCTGCAGCCACACTCACTATTCTAAGTCCGGAGTCGCTATCGGGTGGGTCTGTATGTCTGAATAGATGGTTATGCAATCCTGACTGACATAAACTCATACCATTTTAAGTAATAAGAAGAATTCAACCGCTTAGGCAGCGCTCGACCTAAGGACGCCAGGACTGAGACTGTTTTAAGCAAAATAATGCAGAACTACACAGATTTTCAAGAAAATGTCAAAATTCACATAGAAAGATACAGACCCTTTCCAAAAACATTAGAATATCATGGGAACATTGTTGAATTCCAATAATTCCATTCAAAAAGTTTTAAAACTGTCAGATTTAGGGCTGTATGAGGGAACATTTTTAAACAATTTCAAGTATTTGTTTGTTTGTTGTTACATAATTTGGGCTTCCTGCCCATAAAACCCACAAAAACAGAAATTCAAAAAATTTGAATACTCTGAAGAAGTCAGCCCAAATTTTGCAGGGCATGAGTGTTGTAATATGAGTGTGACATACTAATAATCTACTAAACTCAAAGCACCACGAGGTGTCATTAAATTGCTTCAGTTTGGTTCAATTGTCTCAGTTTGGTTGAATGTGGGGAAGACTTGATAGAATGGGTAAACCACAAAAGTTCACGGCTAAGGAGGCTGGCTGTTCGCACAATGCTGTCTTTAGGCCTATCAACTGAAAGTCTAGTGGAAGGGCAAAATGTGGCAGGAGAAGATGCATCAGCAAAAGAAATGACCGTGGACTCCTATGGATTATCAAACCAAGAAGATTCAAGAATCTTACAGAGATCCAGAAAGAGTGGAAGGAGGTGGGAGTCACAGCTTCAAAAACCACCACAATCAGACGCATCCAGGAGATGAGCTATAACTGTCGGGTTCCTCGGGTCAAGCCACTTCTGAACCTGAGCCAATGTAGGAAGCGAGTGGTCCAAGGTCCTCTTTTCTGATGCAAGTAAAGTGTGCCTTCCATTCAGTAATCAAGGTCCAAGGGGCTGGAGGAGGACGAGTGAGGAACTGAACCCACACTGCTTGAGGTCCAGTGTAAAATATCCACAGTCAGTCATGATTTGGGACGCAATGTCGGGTACACATTTTGGTAAACTCAGCTTTCTTAAATCCAAGGTCACTGCAACAGTCTACAGAATGTTTTAGAGGACTTCATGATTCTTTCTGCTGAGGATCTGTATGGAGATGCAGATTTCTTCTTCCAGCAGGACCTGTTCCCTGTCCATGCCAAAACCTAGTTTGGTCACAACTTGACTGCCCAGTCAACTCGCTGGATCTACTCCCCTTTGAGAATCTATGGGGAATTCTCAAGAGGAAAATGAGGGGCACCAGATCCAAAAACAACAAAGAGCTGACAGCAAGCATCAAGGAAATCTAGGCTTCCATAACTCCCAGGCAATGCCACAGGCTGATTGCCTCAATGCCACATCGCATCGAGGCAGTGATTAAGGCAAAGAGATTCCCAACAAAGTACTGAAGACTGACATGTCATTTTTAAACAGTATATTTAAAAACAATATTTTAATTTTAATTAATTTATTTTTTTCTGCAAAAACTGAGAAGTTGTTTAAGCTGATTTTTTCAGAGTATTCAGTATTTTTGAATTTTTTGTGGGTTTTATTAACTGGAAGCCCAAATTATGTAACAATAAACAAACAAATATTTGACATCACTTAAACTGTGGGCCCTGAACCTATAACATATGAAAGTCTAACATTCTGAATAGAATTATGGGAATTGAAGAACTTTTCCATGACATTAACATTTTTGGAAAGGGTCTGTAAAGATAGAATCTTAAGTAACCTATTTTGACAATTTATCTGCAAAAAAAGTTAATTTGGGAATTAGTTACACACTTTAAGGACAAACTGGGCTGCAGAGTTTGTTGTTAAAACGACAATGTTTCCCAGCCATATATTTCAGAAAGTGAATAGCTTAAATGACAAACAGAAACAACTGATGAGAAGCTACTTGCATGACAATCAGACAGGAAAATGGTGCATGCAAACCATTTCGGGTTGAGCTACAGAGAGAGAGAGAAAAAAGAAACAAACAAACAGATCAAGCAAATGGAAATCAACATTACATTTATGCACACATAACTGTTACAGAAACTACCAAAACTGGTAACACTGAAAATACAAACCTCCAACATTAAATTGCTATGTCTGATATAAATAGTTTCTCCCTCAAGTCTCTTGGGTCTCTTCTGTGAAAAATGAGGGAAAGGAATAAAACTGGTTGTAAGCAAGTTAGAATTAATGTCTATGTTTCAATCTTCAAATAACAGCAATGGCTATAGTAGCAAGATAAACCATTGGTGCGCAGAAACATAGAATGCAGCATGCAATTCCCAATTTGTCAGCTCAGCTAATAAAAGATGACGAACCTATACAAACTGGGTGGGTATGTGTTGAGGTCACGCAGATACATGAAAAAACAAGAATTGTAAGTCACATGCTATGCATGCATAAGATGCTGCTGCATAGGACGTTGCATGTGTCTGTTTTCTGGATTTGCAAAATTTCAACAAGCTCATGTTATATTGTGCCAAGACAGTTAAGGGGTTAATTTACAAATTATACTGTTTCAGGATGATAAAAAAAAATACTGAATTATACAAGAAATTTCCAAAATGTCATCATTAATGAATTCTAGGTTTTCATTCACAGTACTGTATAAATTAAATGGCTGTTTTTTTCTTGGGGTTGGAAAAAAACTATTACTGAAAATATTTCCCTATTACAAAAATAGGGAAAATTGTAGACTTAATTTTAATAATAAATATTTTAAAACCTCAATTCATCATTTAATATCTACACTCCTGCCTGACGCTTATGTTAACATTGCAGGGTGTCGCAGGGTGTGGTTACATGTACTTCACGAGAATGTTATGCTCGACTGTTGTAATGTAATGGCAAATTATACTGCTATTACTAATATCATCATTATTATCAATGGTAGTAATAGTATTAGGTTGCTGAATTTCTAATTAAAGTAACCAGAAAAATTTATTTATGTCTTCTTAATGAAATGCACAAGCTTTCACAAAATAGGCATCCACAAATCACAATATTCAAGAAAATATAGCATCATTTGACTGTGCAATGGAAATGAAAATGTAAGTCGGCAAAAAAATGTTGCTAACCTTCCTTACTCGAACCATTTCCATCTTTTTATCCTGAACAGAGAGCTGTTTCCCCATCAGAAAAAGAAATTTTTTTGTAACTCTCTGTAAGCCTCTTTTGTAACTCAAATATAAAACAGCAAAAAATGACATGCATTTAAGGAGATCCAGATTCTTGTAACAATGCTGCTTTACATAGCTTGCTAGGTTCTAAAATTAAGGAAAATTATTCTGGGTGCACCGATTGCAGTTTTCTGGCCATTTCCCAATCACTAGTTTTAAAAAACACTGACCTTCCAATTGCATTTGGGTCTGAAATGTTGCTAAATACATCAAGAAAGTCGCTGAGCTGGCAACAGTAGGGTGACTATTGTCAATTGTCAGCATGCAGACATGACCTGGTGGGCAGGTCTGTCAGTCAAATCTCTCTCATGGCAGAACAAAAGAGGACGGTCGTAGATTTTTAGATCCTCCTCAAAGTAAATAAAATTGGTTGATATGAATATTGATCACCGATCTCCCAAAATTTAGGAAATTGGGGCTGATTTATTGGCTGGCTGATTTTTTGTTGCACCCCTAAATTATACTTATTTATTTCCTCTCGAGTGATGTTAGGTTTGTAACTTTATTAAAAATGTGTCTTGCATGTTTCTTAAAACTTTCATTGTTGTAAGGACTCTGGACATCCTTACATGTCCAATGACATACAAGGATGTCCATGTCACTGTTTGCATCCTTATTTTTTCACAGATAATCTTGTAGTAGAACAAGAAGGAGAAAGATCCTATTCTTTCTCCTTATTTTCCTACTACCATCACTTCAGGTCCTCGACCTGATTGACAGCGTTAAACCCTCTTCCTGCCTCTGATTGCTTGGTTCTGACCAAACAGGGATTTTCTGCAGGTAGCAGTAGGACCACAGGGAGAAGGCAGAGAAGCTTGATTTTTCTCACAGATTATCTGTCTCATATTGCACTGTCAGGACAAAGTAAAGGTTTTTTACCTGAGTGGCCAATCAGTCAATGTTATTCATTTTCTAACATATCGATATGAGTCCCAAAAGTAAAATTGGGCCAGTATTACCAAGTGATGTTTTTTCAGCTTTTTCCCATTTCCCAATGAGTGTTTCAGAATGGGAGGGGATTGACAATGTTGTATTTGTTTGACCATGTGGCAATGGTACAGTGTTTAACTGAATGTCATGTTTCTGGCCCGTCTGCCTGCTTTGTTTTTCTCCTCAGCACTCACCTCCCATCAAGCTCATCTGGTTCACCTCCATGCTGCTGCGCTGGAGCACAATCAGGCTCATGTCTTCCACCTGTTCACCAGCAGTTATAGTCAGCTCTCAGGCAGGCAGACGGTGCCAGATTTTTGAAAACCTTGGTGTGAGTAGATATCCAGCATTTCCTCCTTACCTGACCATGATCTCGAACACATTTTTTGTCTCTTGGATTTTCCTGCCCTGTCTAGCCCACGTCGGATTCTTCACTGGCTTCTGTTTTCTGGACTCGACTCTGCTTCTGCCTTTCGACCTCTACCTCCTGCCTCGCCTCTGGATTTGTCTGCCTGATATTGCCTGCACGTGTTGGACCCTTTTCTGCGCCCAGGACCACTGTTCTTCGCCTGTCCCTCAGATAAGTTTTGCCTTGTTCTGCTTCCCTGTCTCAACCCATTGGCCCCCCAGTTCTGATTCCCCCTGGATGTGTCACCTGCTACTTACCTCTGTGTTACCTGGACTCCTCATCCTCCACAACACTTTAAGAAGGTTAGTGGCTTGTCTCATTCAGCCTTGACCCCCAAGATTACAAGCCACTAACCTGCTTCTCCATCCTCAGAGGTTCCCAATGCCGGTGGTTGCCTGTCCCATACACTGATCCTCAATAAAGATCTTGTTGTTTTTTTTCTACTTTGTGTCTGACTGAAATTTTGGGTCCTCAGTTCTGAGCATTACAGAAAAATCTGGCCTAAAATGGACCCTTCGTCAGCACAGCAGTGGCGCAGCAACGTTGACAATTCTATTAATCAGCTTAATGCTGGCATGAATGAAATCATTACCATGCTTCGTAACATGTCTCCTCCTCCTGACCAGGTACAACCACAGACACCTCCCCAACCAGTTCCTGAGCTTCAGCCCGCTGTGGTTAAGGAGCCTTGTCTGACCCCTCCCGAGCTATTCAAGGGAGACTCTGACCAGTGCCGTGCTTTTCTCACTCAGTGTGAGATCCACTTTGAGTTGCAGCCCTCCTCTTTCCCTACTGAACATTCGAAGGTAGCATTTGTGATCTCACTTTTGTCCGGCAAGGCCAAACAGTGGGGCACAGCAGAATGGCAAAATTAATCAGATTCCTGTTTGACCTACTCTGCGTTTTCTAAGGAACTGATTAGGGGTTTTGACCCCATCCTCCCTGAGAGAGAGGCATCTATGGGACTATTATCCTTGAAACAGGGAGGTAAGAGTGTGGCTTCTTATATCATTGATTTTCACCTGTTATCTGCAGACAGTAGCTGGAATCAGGAGGCATTAATGGATGTGTTCATGCAAGGTCTTAATGAAAATATCAAGGATGAGTTGGCCACTCGAGAGTATCCTAAGTCCTTCAAGGACCTTGAGGATTTGGCAACTAGGATAGATCTTCGTCTCAATGAGAGGTGTAGGGAGAAACGTCACAGGGAGGCCTCATCTGCTCCATTTTGCCGCTCAGGCCCCTGCTCCAAAGCTACAAGTTACTCCCTACCCTCAGCTGAAGCACCAGATCCTGAGCCGATGCAGTTGGGGAGCACAAGGATCTCCATGGAGGAATGTTCTCGCAGAAGGCAGTTTAATTTATGTTTTTACTGTGGATCCACATCGATCGATCCATAATGTTCTAGCTTTGGATGGACATCATATTAGCCGGTCCCACCTCATCACAGAAAAGGTCAGTCTGACGCTTGGTGGTAATCATCAGGAGTAGATCACTTTTGTTATTATCCACTCACCACAGCTGCCCATTGTTTTGGGGGCCTCATGG